AAAAAAAATTACACTGTTTATTTTTTGAAAAAAGTTTGTAGTCAGTCTTGCCTACCGCAAGCGGTCATTTCATCTCGAACCATTTATATTCTTTGCATGACTCTGTCTTCTATTATCTTATCTGCTATCTAAATAAAACTATTTGTTTGAAAGTAAACCTAGCCTCTCGCTACATTAGTAGTCTTGTCATTCAAACAGAGAGAATCAAAAGAAGAGATTACAAAGAACATATTTGGCAGTCTATTATTATTATTATTATTTCGTATTTCAATTCTATTATTATTCTACTATTATCTTATATATTACGTATTATAAATGCCATTTTCAAAAAATTGAACAAATAACAAAAATAGCAGAGATGATATAGAATAAATAACAGAAAGCAATAGAACAAATAGCAAGCAATAAAGCAAATAGCAGAAATGTTTTTACAGAAGTTATGAAGTTTATTCGGTTTGATAATAAAAATCAACGAAACCAGCGACAAATTCGTCTTTATTTCCAAAGTTTGGCGCATTCATTAAAAAACAGTCAAAACTGTTACAAACCAGAATCATATCTACAGAGAAACGACGAAAACAAAATGTAGATTTACGCAGTACATATCCACTAAACGGAATAAATTTGGTATAAAATTCTTAGCTTTGATATCAGTCAAATATACAGCTTGCCATATTTAAAAAAAAGATAAAAGGAGAGGATTTTCGGTTTCACTTCATTAGTAGAACCCTATACAGGCTGTGAAAGAAATATAACGGCGGAAAATTTTTTTACAAGTGTGTCATTAGTGATAAAACTTTTGACAAAAAAAAAAACTACGCCTGTTGAAATTATTCGGGAAAATAGAAAGGAGCTATAAAAATTGGCAAGATAGATAAAAAACATATGAATCGTTTCTCAACATTATACGGATCAAATAATTGTATTTTGACAATTTACAAAACTAAATCTAATATAAAGATACTGATATGATGATTATTTTCAATGCATTCATTCGTTGAATGATGCCCGTATACCAGAAACAATAAAATTCTACGGCAGTACAAAATTCGGTGTAGATGTAATCAACCGAATGGCCAGAAAATACAGCGTAAACTCAAAACCACAGAGATGGCCTTTGCAGGTATTTTTTAATATCTTAGATTTAGCCGGGATAAATGCTTGGATTTTATATAAAGAAACGACAGCAGAAGGAATTTTCAGATTTTTTATTTTAATTGGGAAAAGAGCTTGCCACCGAATGTCAAGAAAAGCAACAACTAGGAAAAGAAGGACTAGCAAAAACAATCACAAATATAGCTACAGATTCATGTGACCAGAAAAATTGCTACATAAGATTCTGCAAAGGTAATAAGCCTAACAAGATCTGTCTGAAATATGAAAAATACATAAATGGGAAATGTATACTGAAGAATCCTATGGGTGTAAAAAATGTAATGAAATTGAATAAAATAAACATTATTTATTTTTAAATATAAGAAAATGTTTTTTTTTTAAAGCGGTCATATGACCGCTCACGGTAGAAATAAGTATACTTGATTGTTGGACTTGGTTTAGTATTAAAGCTTCACAACGATAGATTTTTTTCATATTAAAAAAAAAAAAAAAACATTCTACGAAGGAAAGTTACAAAGTTCTTGTCAGCGAAGGAACCTGGATGAAATAATACAAGCCGCGGAAAAGTTTCGTAAAATGATCAAATTTATCACTCCGCAATTTGAACCAAAATTAACACAGATCAAAACGCATGTCATTATCACTCTACATTTGAAAGAACTTTGACAACAGGTGAAAAGATCGTATTTGCTAACCGAAAAAAATCTTATCAAAAACAACACATACTTATACTGCTATACAGTATACAATAATCATGTCTCAGAAATTATTGCCGCACGAACTCACGGGAAACTTTAGACCAATTGTGAAGAGAAGAATGGACAAGCAGCAAAGTACAAAAATGTTTCAATAGCATATTCTAAATCAAAGAAGCTGATGCAACAAATTTACAAAATGTACTTATCATCAGCCCTGAAACCATATATGAATATCAAGATAATTTTTATTATTAATAGATTCATAGTTTTATGATGATTTGTTTATTTCAAACGAAGGAGAATGTTCTTATACTATTAAAATAATTCCACCCAAGTGTAC